CTGAATATTTGTCCAATGTTCAGTCCATTTGACTCCCCAAATCTAATATTTTCAAAAAAGAAGAAGGAAAAAAGTTAATTGGAAATAAAATTGTGACAGTATTAAGGTCTAAACAGGATCAAGTACATTTATATGTTCTGCATAATGACAACGAGGTTGAGACGTATGTTAAAATGCACAAGGATGTACTCTGAAGTTTAAATCTGAATAGAAATGAAAATTGGATAGTACGAGAGTACAATCAAAGTTTTATACCATGGTTTAAGGATTATATTGATTCAAAGTTTTATTTAGATCCCGCTTCAATAACAGAAGGGTTGAGATGTTTAGCATATAGTCCAGGTTTGAATGTGTTTTCTTATACCGAATACGTGGTTATTATATACATATTTTATAGCAAAGAACAAGATGATAAAAGTACTATGCAAAATAATGGTGTCACCGTGGTAGTTGAAGACATGCACATTTCAAATATGAAGGATTTAAACCCCAAATATGCAAATCTGTCATATTTTGGGGTTATCGAGCACATTTGGGTGTTTGATTATGAGAAGTTTCAGATTCCTATCTTTGATTGCAAGTGGGTACATAATAGTGGCATACAAATGGATAAGTCGGGATTTTTACAAGTGGATCTTAATAGGGTGGGGGTACAAAGATGAGCCTTTTATTTTAACCTCTCAAGCTAAACAAGTGTTCTATGTCACTGATCCGACAAGTATGAAATGGTCTATAGTGCTTTTATCTAACAAAGTGATTGATGATAACAATGTAGATTAAGGTGATATTGATGTTGAAAATGAGTCATATATTAGAGGGAATGAATCACATATTAGAAATGATCAAGATGAAAATATTATAACGAATGAATCATATATTAGAAATGATCATAATGAGGGAAATTAGATCAATCCATTCGTCCGTGTTGTTAAGAGACAAGTAATTCATGTTCCAATCAAGAAAAAAAGAGATGTTAGTGAAAAAAAATACTAGTAAAATGTTATATATTATGTCATTCAATAAAGTTATGTATTTTGCCATTCAATAAAATTATATATTATGTCATTCAATAAAATTATATATTTAACCAAAAAAAATTATTATTAAAATTTTTTTTTTCGTATATAAAAATATTTAAATCAACAAAATATTATTTTTTTCTATAAATCATTTTTGTTTTAGTACTATTTAATAAAATAATTGAATTAATAATAAATTTGTTTCCATTATTATTCATTAAGACTAATGGCTTTTTGCAAACGATTAGTTCTAATAAAACCCATAAGTGGATACCACCTATTGTCGCGAATGAAGAATATATTTGAAAGAATATTGTTGTTTTTACACTAACATAGAAATATGAATGTGTGTCACCATGAGAACCCTAATTGCACTAAATTAGCCACATTGACATTATCATATGAATGTCAATAGACATGAGCATAGACATGTTTAAAAAGACGTTAATGAATCAAAAATTGATCATCGCATATTTTATAATTTTACTAAAATCATACACAAGAAAATTATTGAACATGTTTAAGTTAAATGATCCTATTTCATAATATTTGATTGAACTCCTATGTCGGTTAAAAGAAAAATTAGAGTATATCTAAATAGTGAAGTGGAACAAATAAAAACTTACACACTCAATACGATATATGTTCTCATCATGAAGAAGAACACGAGCATTTTCATGATAAAATATATCTACAAAGCTTCCAGGTTTTTTTGGTTGCTTATAAGTTAAAAATAGTATTTTATGACTATAAACAATTTATCCTTTTGATTTGGTTAAAAATAGGTATAATATATTTTCTCATAAATTTGTCATTTTCTATTTTAACTATTTGTGATGAAGCCACTGTCAATTATAAGAGACTATAAACTTCATTCAATTTCACTTGATTTAATTATTAAGAATGAAAATATCTTATTTGTAATCTATAAAACATGTGCAATCGGTACTAATAGTACGGATTCTGAGAAACACTTCGCAAGAGGTGTAGATTCAAGTAGCTTTCTTCAATTTCATCTCGTAAAGATATTCTTTTCCCTCCTAAATAGAATAAGACATTCAAAATAAACTTAATGACAAAATTAGTTTGGAGGTGACATGCTCAAATAAACTTATTTTCTTATCCCTCACCACTAAATGCTTGTTAGATCATCACTTTCCTTTCGCAATTGTGTTATCTCAACACAAGAATTATAATTGACATTGTCCACTTTGTGTGTGTGTCAATTCAATGCTCATATTCATAAACTTGAAACCTGTGTTGTCACAACCAATTTTACATATCTGGCACCAACCATTACGTATAGTCTTTCTTCTCCTCGAATTATCGAACAGTTGGTATCCCCTAATAAACACAAAAATAATAGACACAGATAGATATTTAATTAGCTTGTTTCAATTCAAATAAAAACAACAATCACAATAGATATTTAATTATTAAGGATTGAAAGCAATTTTAATCGTTTCGAACAGAAGGGTGAGTATTGAAAAAATAGAGTTTTCTATTTCGGAATAGCTCTATTGAAGAAAATGTAAAAAATTGTTTCTGCGACAGCATGACGGTTGTCACGCTTATGACGAAAGCAAGTTGAGTAGCCTGCATAAATACAAAACATCATCGAACAACCACAAATCTGAAATAGAAAAGCTAAGAAAATGATTTGTTTGAAACTTTCATCAAACACTTTGCAGACAACCTGTTTAAACGAGAGATGGAGAGGAAGAAGGAAGACGAAGATGGAGAAATCGGAAGCCCCATTAAGTTGGGAGTGAGAAGACGAATGAAAGAGAGATCAAAAAGAGAAGTTATGGTAGAGATGGGTGATGGGTAGAGAAGTGTGAAAGGCGTGTAGAAGCAAGAAGAACAGCTAAGATGGGACATATCGGGTTATGTGCAGAAAACAGAAAGGGAGGGTTCTAAAATCAGTAGGATTTCGATGATGGGTTAGAAAAAAGAGGTAACTCATTTTGCATATAAAGGAAAACGAAGCTATTTTTTATAAATGATGTAGTTTCTTCTCATTTGTTCAGTTTGATAGTTACGATATGGGTATGAAAAGACTAAATTTTTGCCAAATGTGCTACCGCATAGAAAGGTGGGAAAGAGGTATTAAAGGGTTTTTCAAGGACCCAAATATTCTTATATGATAGATTTCTATGATAACAAATAGAAAGGAATTTGCAAATTTTTGTAGCATTGATAAGATACCTTAATATATTATGACTTTTTTTATTATCAAGTGTTCAAGAGGTGAAAACAATATGATTATAGGGTTGCACATCATAACTTTTTTTATCAAGGTGAACTACAAAGTTTTGTAACATGTTAGAGATATCTTAATTTATTTTGATTTTGTTTCCTCTTGATAAAAAGTATTTATGTTTTCTAAATCAAAATAAAGTGAGACATGTTTGAAATGCCACAAAATTTTACATATATGTTATGAATGAAGTCTCTGTGGAATGTCAGCTCAAAATTCAATTGTAGGCTAATGTTTGCTTTGTTTTTGTTTTATAGAAAATCAATGTCTAAAATATTCATAATTAATTAATCTCAATTAAAAAAATCAATTTTTGTTGTATATATGATTAGCTACAACTTTAACTACATATTTACTATCATTTTTGAGATCAAGTAAGATTTTGATCTTAATCGTATGACATTGTCATTTCATAATTTTTTTCCATGTGACATTACCATATTATATTTTGTTAAGAAACATTAATAAAAAGACTAAAATTATAGATGAAAGAGGAGTCTTAACAACACTTTTTTTTATTAGTTGAAACATGTGCTAGTCTCTCATTTTAGAAATAAGTCTCACATAAAGTGATTCGATCGACACATATTTCAATCAATAAAAAACTAATATTGAAAATAGAATGTTCTTTAACATTTCTCTAATAAAAAAAATATAAGAAGAACGAGTATTTAAAAAAAATTAAAAATTAAAATATAAACTATTCTTTTATTATATTTAAGGGAACCACAAATATATTTAAATCATTATTTACACACCCATTATTTATTAATGTCAACTATTTTATACTCCTTCCTTAATAAATAATAAGCAAATTTGACATACATTTGACAATTTGATAATTAAAACATCTAACTCAAAAAAAGTCTAATTTGTTAGAGAGTGCAAATACACATTCTTATATAAAATATAAGGAAAAATAAAAATTTGTAAGATAATATTGATTTTACGGTACTTTCCAATATTTTTCTGAATCAAATTGCTACCAAATTTACTAGCGGGTTTAATTAGCTATGATTTTTCTTGGGTTACAATTTGGCTATGAATTGACTACAACATCTCTTAGTAACTCATTTTCATTTTTACATCATTCCACTTTTGCGTGGCTCCACCTCTCTCAACGAGAAGCTTTCGCTATCGCTTTCGAGTCTCCGTTCGGTCTCGTCTCTCTCCGTCTACGGCATATGTCTCATAATCTTCATCTGGTACCAATCTCTGTTTTCAACATTCTTCTTTACTTCTTCAAATTTTAACTTTGACTAAACCGGCTTGTTAGGTTTCAGCTACACTATTTTAGGGTTAGGGTTAGGTTTAATTAGGAAGATGAAAGAAAATGGAAATAACTTTCACTTTGATTCTTCATAAAATTCAACTACATTATTTAAGTAGCTTGCTGAATTACAAATCAGAGTTTAAAAAAATACCCAAATTATGCCAAATGTGTTCTTCTGGGGCCATTTTGCAAGTTGGGCTACTATCATATAGCTATTTCAAGCCATGAATGTGTTATTGAGTAATATTTCTCCCCATGCGGTGTTATATAGTAACTTTGCATCTTGAAATTATACATGCAATTTAAGTTTATTTGTTTTTACTTCCATTTTTATGTCTTCTTTTTTTATCAAATTCATTTTACTATTGTAAATGAGAATCATTTAACAATAATGATTTTTCAACATATAGACAGAAAATAAGTCCAAGTTGCTTCTAGATATCATAACATGGCAATCCGAGGTAAAAGAACTAAACGTGCTCGAGGGAGAGGCTGCAGCGATCCACCACAATCTTCGACTTCCCTAGGTATTCACTTTAATAATTTCTTGGTTTGATATAACAAACTTCCCTAAGTTTGTGAACTCTTGTCTCCGCATTTGTAGAAGTTCATTATGTATGTCATCCTCATAGCATTACAGGTGGTTTCAAACAAATTTTCTCAACTTTGTGAACTCCTATCTTTTCAGTCAGCATGTAGATCTCACTATATCTTGTTATACAGGTGTCAAGAATGACAAGAACAAAATTCAAAAGAAAGAACCGGTAAAAGGGTTTAATGCATTGAATAATAAGCAGAAATCCGCACCTTTTAATTCTGAACAGAATGATGAAGACAACGGTTACAATGATTGCGAAGACGGAGAGGTGCAACTCATCGAGGAAATTTATCAACGACAATTACTCAAGCAGCAGGCAGCTGATGCAAATAATGCGAAAAAATGTATTGAAGCTACTTTGGGACTTTCCAACAATGTGAGGCCATCAAGTGGAGGATCACAGGTAGAAACTGTTCGGCAACAAGTTGTATCTGTAGAGGGCATCTCTAACTCGTAAGTCACTTGCTGTTTTTTCATTTTTGTTTTATCATTTCTGGTGTGATTTACCAAGCAGTAAAAAAAGGACTTCTAGAGTTCTTGCCGTGCATTTGTTGAATTGAAGCTGCAGTTTGTATATATTGATATATTTTGTAATATACTCATAAAAGTAAGACCAAGTTGTATATAAATATTTTAACATTGAAATCAGAGATAGACGAATTACTCGGGGTCGAGGGAGAGGTCGTAGTGATCTACCAGATCCTTCTCAATATTGCATTGATCCACCACCACAACCGGTACTTACTTCGGTTTCCCCAGGTATTTAATATTTATAAATGCTTGCATATGGTGCTTGTTGCATGGGATGCATATTGGTTGATCTCCCTATTTCTTGTTCCACAGGTGTCAAGAATGGCAAGAATATAACTCAAAAGAAAGGCCGGGGTAAGGGGGTCAGTACATTAAATAATAAGCTGAAATCTACTGCTTTTAATCCTGAAAAGAATGATGAGCACTACGACAATAATGATGGTGAAGATGAAGAATTGCAACACATTATAGAGAAAATTTGCCAATCACAATCACACAAGCAGCAAGCAACTGATGCAAATAATGTGGAAAATTATATTGGATCCAGTTTTGGACTTTCCAACAATGCGAGGTCACCAAGTGCTGGATACAACGTAGAAACTGATACAAGAACAGTTAAATCTGTAGAGGGCATCTCTAACCCGTAAGTCACTGGTCACTTGCTGTTTTTCATTTCTGTTTTATCATTTATGGTTTGGTATACCAAGAAATAAAAAAAGAAGGTAAATGCTGACAAGTTCTGTAGCGGCATATTTGAAGTAATCAAAAAATAATTGGAAATGGTGTATTCAATTCATTAAAATTTAGAGTACTGTTTTTTTCAAGACATTATTCCTATATTTTGTTCCTTAACATGTGCCAGGATGACCCTTGTTAGCAAGACCCTAAAAAAGCGAAGAACGTGTAATCTTCTTGCCATGCATTGGTACAAACTGTAGTTGTATATAATGATATATTTTGTGATGCACTCTTAAAAATAAGACCAAGTTGTCAATAACTATCTTTAACACGAAAATCAGAGGTAGAGGAGTTAGACGTGGTCCAGGGAAAGATCGTAGTGATCCACAAAGGCCTTCTCAATCGTGCATGGTGCCCTTCAATATGCTACCTTAACTAGGCCAGAGATCTCTTTTTCAGTCAACAAAGTCTGTCAGTTTTTGTCCAATCCTTTAGAGGATCATTGGAAGGCTGTTAAAAGAATCTTAAGGTACCTAAGTGGTACTCTGCACCATGGTCTTCTCCTTCAGCCTGCTCCTATTCAGCAACCAATGCAGTTGCTAGGGTTCTGTGATGCAGACTGGGCATCAGACCCTGATGACCGGAGATCTACTTCAGGGGCCTGCATATATCTTGGGCCTAATGTTGTTTCCTGGTGGTCCAAGAAGCAACAGCTTGTTGCAAGGTCCAGTGCTGAAGCGGAATATCGCAGTATGGCTCAGCTAGCTGCTGAACTCATTTGGATTCAGTCCTTGCTCAAGGAACTCCATTATTCCTCTCAAGTTCCTAAGATCTTGTGTGATAACTTGAGCACTGTTACTTTGGCTCACAATCCTATTCTTCACAACAGGACTAAGCATATGGAGCTTGATATTTTCTTTCTGCGAGAGAAAGTACTCAGCAAAAGTCTGACTGTTGTTCATGTACCAGCTCAAGATCAATGGGCTGACATTCTCACTAAGCCCCTCTCTGCTGCCAAGTTTGTTCCTCTTCGTTCCAAGTTGCGTGTGTATGATAAGGCTGCTTTGACAAGTCTGCCATCAGCTTCTAAGGGGGACTAATAGAGTAGTTTACTAATATGCCCTTCATTTTATCTTTCTATTCTGTTTTGCTGAGCTGTCAGGTTTGTTAGTGGTGTGCTGTTAGCTTGTTATGGCCTCACACCTTTTCTGCTTTGTATGACATGGCTATATAAAGTAGCCTCTTGTATTACTGTTTAATTAGATAATACAATGAGAGTTTCTTTTCATTCTCTCTCTTTACCTATTTCTATCATGGTATACAGAGCTTAATTTTTTTCCGATCCATGGAACCTTTATTCCCTTCCTCTCAGGTGAAACTTTCTCACCTAATTTCTGTTAAGCTTGACGACAAGAATTTCAAACAGTGGAAGCAGCAGATTGATGGCGTCGTCCGTGGTCATCGTCTTCAACGCTTTGTCACTGTTCCGGTGATTCCGCCACCGTCTCCCTCAGATCCTGCATCTCACAGTGCGTTTCTTGAGTGGGAACAGCAGGATGCTCTCATTTGCACCTGGCTTCTCTCTACCATCTCCGATGCTCTCCTTCCTAAGCTCGTTGACTGCAAGCATGCGTGGCAGGTGTGGACAGAAGTTCATCGGTACTTTGATGTTCTTCTCTCCACCAAGGCTCGTCAACTTCGTTCAGAACTCCGGCGTCTTACGAAGGGTTCACTAACGATTACTGAGCTTATGACGCGTTCACGTGACATCAGTGAGTCGCTAACCTCCATCGGTGATCCCGTTCCTCTTCGTAACCTAATTGAGATTGTTCTTGATTCGTTACCTGAGGATTATGATTCTATTGTCGCCGCCGTTAACAGCAAAGATGACGTTAGCTCCTTGGAAGAGTTGGAGTCTTCCTTGCTTGCTCATGAGTCGCGATTGGAGAAGCATCGCAAAGCTGCGATTACAGAACCGGCGACGGCAACGATCAATCTCACTCAAGCAACACCTTCTCCCACTCCAGTCGCTTCTGATCAAGTCATCTCCGAGGCGTTTCCTCAAGGAACGAGTCACGTCACCGCTAATGCTGAAAATCATTCCTATGGTGCACGTGGTGGTCGTTCTGGTCGCGGTGGTGGTCGTTTTGGTCGTGGAGGAGGTCGTTTTGGGAAATCACCGTGTCAGATTTGTCACAAACCTGGTCATGATGCTTCAGTATGCTACTATCGTTATGCCAATTCAAGTGGTGCTAGTTATCCACATCATCGAGCTCCCTTCAATCCTTTTCACGTGGCTCCTCGTGCTGTTTATCCTGTGCAGCTTGCTTATGCTTCTCCCAGAGCTGCGCCTCCCAGATCTTCTGCACCACAAGCCTTTTATGCAGGTACTGAAGCTAGCAGTGCAAACCAGTGGTGGTATCCTGACTCAGGAGCTTCTCATCATGTTACTCCTGATGCCTCTAATGTGTCTGACTCTGCCTCCGTGCCTGGAACTGAACAAGTTTTCATAGGTAACGGCCAAGGTTTGTCCATCAACTCTGTAGGTTCTATGTCTTTTCCCTTACCTCACAAACCTCATCTATCTCTCACTCTTAACAATCTCTTACATGTCCCTCACATCACCAAAAACCTTATGAGTGTGAGCAAATTTGCTCAAGATAATTCTGTATTTTTTGAATTTCATCCTAAGTTTTGTGTTGTCAAATCTCAGGCTACTTCTGAAGTCTTACTCAGTGGTCTTGTTGGTGCTGATGGCCTCTATAAATTCTCCAATCCAGCTGCTCCTCCGTTGTCCAAATCTTCTTCCTCTTATAGTTCTAGTCATAGTTATCCTGCAGCATACAATTGTAATACTTCCTATAGGACGGATGTTATAGATTCTATATCTCAGTGTACTGAATCTGTTGCAAATCATACTATAAATCCTTTGTCTTCTTGTAATGAATCTTGCAATTTTAATGTTACAAGTACCTTTTTCAATCCTTCTCTAAACTCTGTCAGTACTGTTTTACCTTCCTCACACTTTAATGCTGCAAATTCTATTGCATCCAATAAATATGTGCTTTGGCATACTAGGCTGGGACACCCCAATCATCATGCCCTCACTGAAATCTTCAAACTGTGTAATCAATCCTTTCCATCTAAACCCCCTGCTGAGTTATGTCACGCTTGCTGCATTGGCAAGTCTCATAGACTTCCTTCTTCTTTATCTACCACAGTTTACTCTCATCCTTTTGAGCTGGTTGTATGTGATCTTTGGGGTCCTGCCCCTATGCAATCTTCCAGTGGTTATACCTATTTCCTAACCTGTATTGATGCCTTCTCTAGGTTTGTTTGGGTTTTTCCTCTCAAACTTAAGTCTGACACCATGGTTCAATTTCTTCAGTTTAAGAAAATGGTTGAACTTCAGTTCAATTGTCCCATTAAATGTGTCCAAACTGATGGGGGAGGTGAGTTTAGGCCTCTTACCAAATATCTCACAGATTTAGGGATTGTTCACAGATTCACTTGTCCTCATTCACATCACCAAAATGGCCTTGTTGAACGTAAGCACAGGCACATTGTTGAGACTGGTCTCACACTCCTTGCTCAGTCCACCCTTCCCTTAAAATTCTGGGATCATGCCTTTGTCACAGCTGCATATCTCATTAACAGACTTCCTACACCTATACTTGACAATGTCTCACCTTATTTTAAATTACTTCACAAAAACCCTGACTATACTATCCTTAAAGTCTTTGGCTGTGCATGTTATCCTTTTCTCCGTCCCTATAATTCTCATAAACTTGATTTTAGATCTCAACTGTGTATTTTCCTTGGATACTCTACCTCTCACAAAGGCTATAAATGCCTTGCTTCAGATGGTCGCATTTTTATTTCCAAGGATGTTGTTTTTAATGAAGCAAATTTTCCTTATTCCACCTTGGTTTCTTCTTCAAAATCTGTCTCTCTTCCTAACACTCCATCCTCTTCCTCTCCCTCTCTCAGTTTTCCTCCTGTTCCCTCTGCTCCCTCTACTTCTAATCTGTCTTCTATGCCTTCTTCTTCCTCAAATTCTGCTTTTCCTCAACTTAGCAGTCCCACTATTTCTAATTTTTCTCCAATCTCTTCTTCCTCTTCCTCTGCTGCTCCCTCTAACAACTCTTATTCTTCTGGTCAGCAACCTATCCCTCAACCTCTCACTGCCATTCCCATTACCTCTTCTCCTTCTTCCTCTCCTGCCCTCATTCTCTCTGATCCAGCTGAAGCTAGCACTCTTTCTCCCTCCTCTTCATATTCCTCTCCTTTAGTTGGTCCCTCCCCTGGCCCTAGTCCTATTTCCCACCCTGCTGCCACAGCTTTACCTTCCATTCACCCTCAAAACATCCACCCTATGCAAACTAGAGCCAAAAGAGGAATCACTCTTCCTAGACTTCACCCTACTCTATTAATAGCCCACCTTGAACCTACATCTGTTGAGCAAGCCTTGGCTGCTCCTAACTGGTTTCAGGCCATGAAGGAAGAACATCAGGCACTGCTGAGAAATCAGACCTGGACTTTGGTGAAAGCTCCTGCTGGAAGGAAGCCTATTGGATGTAAGTGGGTGTTCAGGACTAAGGAGAATCCTGATGGTTCCATAAACAGGTATAAAGCCAGATTAGTGGCTAAAGGGTTCCATCAAAAGGCTGGTGATGATTTTCAAGAGACTTTTTCTCCTGTCATTAAACCTGTTACTGTGAGAATTGTTCTTTCTATTGCTGTTACAAACAGGTGGCCATTGCAGCAGATTGATGTTAACAATGCCTTCCTCAATGGCACTCTTGAAGAAGAAGTCCTTATGCAACAGCCCCCTGGCTTTGAAGTTGCTGACAGAACTCTTGTTTGCAAGTTAAATAAGGCTATTTATGGTTTAAAACAGGCTCCTAGGGCCTGGTTTGATAAGCTAAAGTGTGCCTTGGTTCAACTCGGGTTTAAGGCTAGTAGATGTGATCCTAGCTTGTTTTTGTTGCATCAAGGTAAACTTCAGATTCTAATTCTGGTCTATGTTGATGATATAATCATCACGGGTAGTTCTGCTCCTTTTATAGCTTCCTTGATCAAGCATCTCAATAATTCTTTCTCTCTCAAACAGCTGGGACAACTTGATTATTTCCTAGGGATTCAAGTGACTCATCTCCCTAATGGTTCTCTTCTCTTATCTCAGACTAAGTACATCACAGATTTGCTTTCAAGGCTTAATATGTTGAATGCCAATGGCATGCCTACTCCCATGGTCTCTAGCAGCAAATTGTCCAAGGTTGGGTCTGCTGCGGTTGATGACCCTACTCAGTTTCGGTCTGTGGTTGGTGCCCTTCAATATGCTACCTTAACTAGGCCAGAGATCTCTTTTTCAGTCAACAAAGTCTGTCAGTTTTTGTCCAATCCTTTAGAGGATCATTGGAAGGCTGTTAAAAGAATCTTAAGGTACCTAAGTGGTACTCTGCACCATGGTCTTCTCCTTCAGCCTGCTCCTATTCAGCAACCAATGCAGTTGCTAGGGTTCTGTGATGCAGACTGGGCATCAGACCCTGATGACCGGAGATCTACTTCAGGGGCCTGCATATATCTTGGGCCTAATGTTGTTTCCTGGTGGTCCAAGAAGCAACAGCTTGTTGCAAGGTCCAGTGCTGAAGCGGAATATCGCAGTATGGCTCAGCTAGCTGCTGAACTCATTTGGATTCAGTCCTTGCTCAAGGAACTCCATTATTCCTCTCAAGTTCCTAAGATCTTGTGTGATAACTTGAGCACTGTTACTTTGGCTCACAATCCTATTCTTCACAACAGGACTAAGCATATGGAGCTTGATATTTTCTTTCTGCGAGAGAAAGTACTCAGCAAAAGTCTGACTGTTGTTCATGTACCAGCTCAAGATCAATGGGCTGACATTCTCACTAAGCCCCTCTCTGCTGCCAAGTTTGTTCCTCTTCGTTCCAAGTTGCGTGTGTATGATAAGGCTGCTTTGACAAGTCTGCCATCAGCTTCTAAGGGGGACTAATAGAGTAGTTTACTAATATGCCCTTCATTTTATCTTTCTATTCTGTTTTGCTGAGCTGTCAGGTTTGTTAGTGGTGTGCTGTTAGCTTGTTATGGCCTCACACCTTTTCTGCTTTGTATGACATGGCTATATAAAGTAGCCTCTTGTATTACTGTTTAATTAGATAATACAATGAGAGTTTCTTTTCATTCTCTCTCTTTACCTATTTCTATCACAGCCTATTGCTTTCCTGTTAGCAGGCAGTGGTACCAAAGACCAAGTGTTGTTCCTTATCAAGGCACCATACTCCTCTTGCATAGCAGCAAACCACTTAGGATCTTGGAGAGCAGTTTTAACACTCTTAGGCTCAGAATTGACAAGAAAAATGGAAGGATTTAGACGAGGTAAGGGTACACCAGATTTAGTTCTAGTAGTCATAGGATGAGTATTGGTGGGGAGAGGCTGAAGGTTAGGATCCCTAGGAGCATAAATAGAGGAGGAGGATAGTGAAGTGGTAGTAGTAGGCTGATTGTTGGCATTTGAAGAGGGTGAAGGAGTAGGATTAGTGCTGGCTGTTTGTGTTATAGGGGTTGCTGACCCAGAGGCAGTAGGTGTGGGGCTGGAATTGGATTGGGAAGAAGAAGAGGAGTGTGAGACAATAGGTGTGGGGCTGGAATTGGATTGAGAAGAAGAAGAGGAGTGTGAGACAATAGGTGTGGGGCTGGAATTGGATTGAGAAGAAGAAGAGGAGTGTGAGGTAGTGGAAGCAGTAGGAACGGGAAAAACATGAGGGAGAGCTTGTGTGTTAAGGGTTACTTTAGATGAGGAGGAGGATGGAATGGTTGATGAGGGGAGAGAAACATTAGAGGAAAAAAGATCATTGTAAGGAAATTTGGACTCGTTGAAAAGAACATCTTTAGAGATGAATATTCTACCACTTGGAGAGAGACATTTGTAACCTTTGTGAGCTGTAGAGTACCCTAGAAAAAGGCACTCGTGGGATCTAAAGTCAAATTTTTGAGAGTTGTATGGGCGAAGGAGAGGAAAACAAGCACACCCAAAGACTTTAAGGAATTTATAGTCAGGATTTTGATTGAAAAGGACAGCATATGGTATATGTTGATTGAGAGACATGGTTGGTAACCTATTTATTAGGTAGACAGCGGTTAAAAAGGCATGGTCCCAAAATTTGAGAGGTAAAGAGGCATGACTCAAGAGGGTTAAACCAAGATCAACAACGTGTCTATGCTTCCTCTCCACTACACCATTTTGGTGATGAGTGTGAGGGCAAACTAGGCGATGAATAATGCCAAGATCAGAAAGAAACTTTGTAAATGGGCGAAATTCACCACCCCAATCAGTTTGGACAGATTTAATAGGAAATCCAAATTGTAATTCAGCCATGACTTTGAATTGTTTAAAGATAGTTAAGGCTTCAGATTTATTTTTGAGCAAATAGATCCAAGTAAATCTGGTGTATGCATCAACAAAGGTGATGTAGTAGGTAAAGTTTTGGGAGGATTTGACTGGGGCAGGACCCCATAGGTCACTGAAAATTAATTCAAGAGGAGAGTGATATTGAGTTTGTGACTGAGGGGAGTGCAGCCTATGTGCCTTTCCCATACAGCAGGCAGAACAAAAGATAGATTCAGCTTTATTAGAATAAGGAATATTACATTGAGCTAAAACAAGTCTCATAGTATTAGAATTTGGATGACCAAGGCGTAAATGCCAAGTATGTTGAGAATTATATGAGTTATTAGCTGATACATTTTGATTAGAAACTGAAACCCTATCACTAGTGCTGGAATCAGATCTTGAAACATGAGCATTAGAGTCTAAGGTGAGACATGAGACTTGACTTGTTGAAGGAGACTTAAGAAGCTGAAGATGGGAAAATTGGTACAGGCCATCACTTCCTACACGACCTTGGAGCAGAATTTCATTGGTAGCCTGAGATTTGACATAGCACATATCAGCATGAAACTCAAAGAAAACTCTATTATCAAGACAGAATTTGCTGACACTTATCAGGTTCTTTGTAATAGAAGGAACAAGCAGTAAATTATGAAGAGCTAATGGAGTGTTAGGTTTAGAATGAGAAGGAAAATAAGAAGAGCCTGAAGAGTGAATGTGCAAACCTTGACCGTTACCAATGAAGATCTGATCAGGACCTTCAAAAGGTGTGGTTTGCTGTATGTTTTGAGAGGCATTGGTAACATGATAAGAAGCTCCTGAGTCTGGGAACCAGGCACTGCTTGGAACTGAAGTTGTGTTAGCAATCATAGCATTGGGAGTGATATGTGACTGAGGAACAGGGAGAGGGGCAAGTCTTGGTTGATAGCTTGGGCGTGACCGAGTGTTAACCATGGGCTGAGCAAACTGAGGTCCACCAATTGGTTGATACGGATAGAAATTTTGTAGGTTCATTGTTTGAAAATCAGCAGGTATGTTAGGTTGAAATTGTTGATTGAACCTATGATAGCAGTTAGCAGCAAGATGACCATATTTGAAGCAAACTTGACATTGAATGTTGCTGAACCTACCTCTCCCACGGCCGCGTCCACCACCACGGCCAGCTGCACGGCCTCCTCTTGAATAGGTTGGATTAAAGGTTGAATTCACAGCTTGTTCATTGTTCTTGTTATTCGAGTTATCAGTTTCAGGTTGAGAATTGGCTTGAGTGAGATTCACTGAGGCAGCCACCTCCATTTGTGAGTGTTTCTTATACTTGTTGTATCTCATCTCATGAGCAAGAAGAAGAGCTTCAACTTCTTCAAGTTCTACTGAATCAAACTTGCTTTCAATAACTGAAATAACAGAGGCAAAGTCTTGAGGAAGACCTTCAAGAATCACATCAATGTGTTGCTGATCTGGAACTGGATCTCCTACTGAAGCAAGCGCGTCAACAAGAGCTTTGATGCGAACCAGATAATCACCAACAGATTTGTCTTCAAGTGTTGTAGATCTGAGTTCCGCTCGTAGTTGTCTTGCTTTCGCACGTGTAAGCTTTTGAAAATGCGCAAGAATACGTTCCCAGAGCTCGTAGGAATGAACGCATCCAAGAACACGTGAAAGAATTGAAGGTGAAAGCGTGGATTGAAGCCACGTCATAAGCCACTGATCTTGCGTAATCCAGGTGCGATACGCAGGGTTCTCACGAGCAGCGGCACGATCTTCATCAGTCAGGTATTGATTCGGTATGTCACGAAGGTAAAGGTAGTTTTGAAGATTGTTCGCGTTAACGAAAGGATCTACTTGTTGGCGCCAAAGTAGGAAATTCTTCTCATCAAGTTTTTCTGTGATTTTGAGTTGGAAGGACATAGATGTTGGGGTGGCCGGAGCTGTAGTTACTGGAATCGCTGCCATGGATAGAACCGAAGCTCTATGATACCATATTAGAGTGAGATATGAGAGAGAAGAGAGAAAAAGCTAAAAGAGAAAAGAGAGAAACAGATTCTGTTATTGCTTAATTGGAAAGGAGCATTATGCTCTATTTATACAAGAGGAGATGAACATTCAAGAGTTGAATCATTCAAGCTCTACAATTAAGGAAGACTTTTCTTATTCTATTAAATTAAGGCTGGACTTAATTATTCTATAGTGCTGATTATTCATATTCTAAGATATAACTCTAATATGTCTGTAGAGGGCATCTCTAACCTGTAAGCCATTTCTCACTCTCTGTTTGATTATTTATATGGTTGGATTTACCAAGAAATAAATAAACAAAGCACGTACGGCATTTGTAGAAGCGGTAGCATGTATTATTGATATATTTCGTAATATACTCATAAAAATAAGATCAAGTTGCATATAAATATTCTTAACATGACAATCAGAAGTAGAAGAACTAAACGTGATCGAGGGATAGGTCGCAGCGATCCACCATGGCCTTCTCAATCATGCATTGATCCACCACCACCACCAGCAACACATACTTCGATTTCCCCAGGTATTTTCCTTTACAAAATGCCTTGCATATGGTGCTTTCTGCATGCTGTAATGGTATACGATGATGTGCATGTTTTTGCCTTCATGGTTGTACTGTAATCTGGCCAATAACATAAAGAATAACTGCTATACTAAGACAATGGAACATTTAATCAAACATATCACTGGTTTATTTATTGTTCTTTTTACATTTCCCCTGTTTTTTCCTTTATTTTCGTTTTATCATAACAGCTGGTAAGCTTAAATTGTACAGCGGTAGTTTTCCATTGCTCTAATGATTTAATGGTATTCTGCCCCAATGGGTGAGTTTAGCTTACCCTTTCATTTCTTTATTTTGATATGGTCTTCTACTCACAGTATATATGTCAAAGTGTGGTATGAGTTCTGAGGCCTGGAAATCTCCAACACGTCATTTATAGAGATTATTTTATGGTAGGTATAATCTCATAGACTTGGCATGTGTTTTTAAACAGCTTGCATTGCTCTACAGGTATGAAGAATGACAAGAACAGAATGCAAAAGAAAGGACTGGTTAGGGGGCTTGATGCATTAAACAATAAGCAGAAATTTACTGCTGTTAGTTCTGGAGAGAGTGATGAATATTCTGACTACGATGATGGTGAAGATGAAGAGATGCAGCTCATGGGGGAGATATTTATTGAACAACAACCACTCAGACAACAAGTAGCTGACACAAATAATGTGAAACAATATAATGGAGGCAATTCCGTAGTCTCCGACCATGGGAGCATGGGCAGTGCTTCTTCAGATTCTGTCCCACACTCTAGTAATCCACCAGCTAAAGACCCAACTTCAGTGCCTTTGAGAAGATCTCGTGTAGAAATTGATAGAAGAAAAGTTATATCTATCGAGGACAACCCAAACCCGTAAGTCCCTTGACTCTTGCTGTTTCTTGTGCTGCAATGTCAAATTTAAATTGTATCATGAAGGCTGAAACTGTATCATAAGGGTCATTGATAGACTCACAAAATGAAACCATTGAGGAAAGAGGATTATCCTTGGAGAACTTTATTCCAATTATTTGATCAAATCGTATGACCAAAATCTACTTGTAGATATGTGATAATGACAAGATATATTTGTTTTTATAGTTTATGGGGGGTCATTACATCAATTTCTTTTATTTAGAGCATTAGACCAAAATCATTTTTATTGCACTGATGTATTAGCTCAAAACCATATACTTTGCTCTAGTTGTGCCATCTCAAATTGTCTTAAATGTTGGCAATTTTGTGCTCAAGCCATTCTACAACACTTGCTTGCTTGTTTGGGAAACTTCTATTACCAACAACAATGTTTAGGTACATTTGATTAGAGCTTAAAACTAGTGTATTAAGAACTAAAAAATTTGCACCGTTGGAATGATTTTTATATCTGATGTTGCATTGAAGAGATCTGACTTTTTATTTTTCTTATATGTCCTCTTTGACTTGAAAGTTTGATTAAATGTATAATGTAAGTGAAATGTTTGTATTTTCACTATTTTGACTTTACATTATTGGGGTAGAGCTATGTAATGAAATTAATATTGAGTGTTTTCATATTGTGATAGAAATTGAGCAATGAGACAATTTTGTAGGAGAAAGCTCAAGATCACAAACTGCTATGTTGCATACAACTGATTTCTACTCATTTGTGCTAGTTAGTGTTCATCCTAAGGTGTTCATTGCTAGTAAGTTGAATTAGGAAAAATCTTGTACAGAACAAGAATTTTGCACTTGAAGTCAAAGATTTTCAGAATTCAATACTGTGATACTGCCTGGCCAGTGCTGATCGCCTGGTGGTACTAATCTGAATGTTTACAGTGAAAAGTTGTCGGTCAGTATTAGTATTAAAAAATATATCCAGTGTTGTCAATTGCGGAAAATAGCTTCTTTTTTTCAAATTTCAATACACTAGTGTTGTAGCGCCACTCTTGCCACTTTATGACAACTCTGAATATACGCTGTAGCGGCATAGCTTCTATTTAACAAGACTGAATATACCGATATAATGTAGATATAGTCATGAATAGAATGAGCACTCTCCATGATGGAAATGGATAACATCCACACCATCATGTATAGCAACAAGACATCAAATGAATTATGTCCTTGTCCAAAGATACACTTGGTGACCCGTAGACTTTGTCAATTGCCAACCTAGCTAATGGCACAACTCCAATGAGAACCATGTCATATTAGTGGCGGCATCATGCCATGTCTAATTTGCCAGACCAATTTTTGAAGAGTTTAAATCCCACTTGCAGGAGGAGGTTTGTTCCCCAAAGTGTTACCCGTGATATTATATCTACCGTGATTGCGCGGATGCCTATTCCAGCTGCAAAGTGGAGAGAATATCCAATTGAAATGAAAGATGAGTTATTTAAGGACTTCATGGTAAGTCGTTATATTATTTTGGCATGGTTTTTTTATCTCTAGATAAATTTATTTATATAATATTATATTGGTGCAGGGTAAATATAAGTTTGCATCAGATTCTGAACGTAGTATTGCAAGAATGGTGTGGGAAAGAACATGCCTGGACCGCTATTCTGATCATTTAAAAAATGCAAGAAAAGTGGCCTTACGGCAAGTGAACTCAACGAACTTGGCCGATACTAAGGGCCATGGGCCAAAAGGGCTGAAGCCAGAAGTATGGAATGGTTTAGTCGATATATGGTTGAAACCAGAGTGGACGAAGAGGTCTGATGCTAATCGATGTAATAGAGCTTCCAAACCTGATTCAGTCTTGCACACTGGAGGCTCGATAAGCTTTACCGAACATAAGAAGAGGCTGGTAAATATATTATTTTCATATAAAATTATACTGACATGCATTATATTCTGGGCTTTACACCTTTAGTCTCCTGAAAAAAACATATTATATTCTAATTCCAAAAGATGTTAATTATAGGAGGAAGAGTTGAAGCAAGGAGTTTCATATAGAGATGTTTACGCTCATGTTCATAAAAGGAAAGATGGGGAATATGTCTCTCGGCGCTCAGAGAAATTTATTGTAAGTTACTTTAAAATTGGCAAAAGTTTATGTATTATATGGATATAGATAGATGCTACATAGTTAATTTATCTATATATGTAACGTTTCATAGTTAGTTATTTTTATAAGTGGTAAAATTATTCTTGATTTGTTGTTTTAGGAGTTATATGACACCATAATGTTGGAAAAGTATGGAGAAGACTCTTCCAATCATCCAGTGTTTGATCCAAAAGTGTGGGCAGAGGTGTCAGGTATGAATAAGAAGAGGCGAGCTTATGAAGGTCGTAGCTACGATGTTGACACTCCCGGACCTATGCCTATTTCATATCCACACGACATTGGTCCGTCACACACTGCAGCTCCGAAACCAACAGAAGAATATATTAAGGAGGCTGTAAATACAGCGATGGCTTCTTTTGTGCAAACACAATTGGCACCTATGTTGCAGCCCATCCTATCTATGATCGGTGGCTCCATACGACAAGCATTATCGCAAGGTAGAGTAGCTGACAGAGATGGCGAGGATGAACGATGATGATTTTGTGGTTGAAGTGAATACATTAATCCAATTTTGTTGCTTTTGCTCCTGTTTTGTGGGTGCTGCAATTTTGATTTTGGCTGGTTTGGGAAGAACAATCAACTGCTTCTACAGGGCCTGTGTACATTGATTGTCTGTGTTATTAGTGTTTAAAGGCTGATAGCAGCTACTAAGTTTATCTATTATATATGCAAGTGTGAAATGCAAGAGTTGCACTCAATTCATTTTGATAATTTTGATAACGATTTGTTGATCATATCATTTCAGGTGAAACATTTTCTAGATGAAATAGCAACAAAAACTTCATGATAAATCAGCAACAAAATTTCTATGATAAATGATATGATGTTATTAAGATTAAGTTTTAATAACACTTTGCTTCAAATTAGCTACCAATTATCAAGATAGGCAAACGTAGTTATTTTGCTGTTCTTTACATTGTAACTAATTTGTAGCTTTTCTGCTTTTGCCGGAGTTTTAGTAACACTCACTCTCTAATATTTATTTTTTTCAGATAAAATTCACACGCGTCTCACTATGCAGTCAGTTTCATATAAACGGGTGACACTCATATAAATTACATCCAATAAAAAATTAATATTAAAGGGAATTGAAAAAAAGAATGTTCCCAACATTTGAGTTTGAGTTTGCTACCAAAATTGTAGCTGGTCCCTAAATTTCTTGCTTGAATCGCCGAAGCTTTGAGATAAAACGTATTGTTGGCAACTTTGAGTTTACGTCAATTCGTTTTAGCTAAGTTATATACATAGTTTGTATACTATTATAAAATACAATAAATATTTTATGATTTTAACATAATTTGTAAAACAATATATATAAAATTATCGTGATAAAGTATCATCTTTATAGACTTATATCTACATAGATTACTTCATCGAATCATAAAACCATAAAAGAATAGTTTCATAAATTTTTAAATTTGTTAAAAATTAATACTATTCAGTTAAACAAGAGTTAATTTTTCAAATCAAATAAATTTTTTTTTTGATAAAATCATTTCTAATTTCATACATAGTTTCCAACTCAAAATCATTACCTAAAGGTATAAAATAGGGCGATTTTACGAATTTAACGTGGGATGTCCCCTGTTAAATTTGCACTATGTTTGTGTTTATTATTTTCTATGCTTTCTATGCTTGTAGTGATTTCGTGTATTTACTTGCAAGGGTGTGTTCCGAGCCAAAGAAGTCTATACTCTACCCATTTTTGATAAAATATTAGACAAAATGAACACCTCTATCTATAAAATTTTCAATAACAAAATGTATTTTCTATAAAAAAAAATAACTTTTGCTTAAATTTGCAATTTTTTTTTTGGAATAATTAGGTATTAAAAAAAATTCACAAATAACCATGTTTCGGAAAAAATTACGCAAATAACTATGTTTCAGATGATTCTTCAAAGGAGGAGCCATCTCACTTGGCGCCTACACCTACTTTTTAAGGGGAGGCGCCATCTCACTTGGCGCCTAGGTGCTTAAGGCTTGCCCTAAGCCAAGTGAGATGGCGCCTTAGTGCATTTGTTAGGGCAATTTTTGCGTTTTTTTTTTCAATCTGGTGCATTACGTATTCGATATAGGATCAACAACTTGACTTTTTATTTACAAAAAATGATTACACCAATAAGTATTACATAAAAAAAATAGATTAAATTAAAAAAAACAGATTAATCAGTGGTCCCCCAGAATCCGGTAATGACCCCCGGTTCCGCATCCCCGTCCTCGCTTTTCCCGTGCTGGGTGTCGTCGCGTTTCCTGTTGTGGCAGGGTCGATGGCCCAATGAAGTCAATGCGTTCCGAATCCATGAAATCAGTCAGATCTCCATATCTAGAAGATCTGCTTTGGTACAGTCGGTTACCCATACTCTCAAAGTTTGGTCGTGTTGGCGGTGGGTGGGGTTCCATGGTTGGTCTGTAGCATTTATCGTCTGAGTACGGGGGATAGAAAGGAAATGGATCTTGGGGTGTTTGGTATTGAGGATGTTGGGTGGTTTGGTGATACTGTAGTTGATGGTAAGTTGGGTCGGTTGGTTCATAATCTTCCGACATTCCCAGATCAGGGCTAAGGCTGGATGTTGAGGGGCCCATATTGGGATATACAGAAGACTGAAATTGTGTGTGGGGTATGCGGGTGTGTTGGTATTGTGATTGGAATTGCGGTTGGATGTGAGGTATATGGGGGTATTGGTACTGAGGTGGTGATTGTGGTTAGTTGTGGGGCATTTGGGTGTAATTGTATTGTGGTGGCGACTGTGGTTGGGTGTTTGTGGTTCTGTTTCGTCTGGGGGGTGGTGGGAGGTTGATGTGTGTTGGGTTTGTTGTTGGGGAAATGAGGGTTGTGCCCATTGTGTTCGTGGGTCAACCAAATACCTTGGATGAGACACGTGCATTTCAGGGTTACTAACCGACCTGTACCAAGATAAATATTGATCCGTGTGTCGCATATTACCATGATTGAGGAAAACCAGGAATTGCAAGACATGTCGGTGACGCCTCTACCACATCTTACACCATTTTGAAGCAAAGTCTTTCCAGTTGGTAAGACCCTATTGGACATCGACCCTTTTAAGATGCCACAGGGACAAACAAGTCGGATCACTGGGTATCTCTTGATGCATTCCGAACTGCATCTTCACACGGTCGATGTGGTGCATCTCCACAATATTGAATCGTATGATTGCAGTCTTGGCGCTCCAAATTGCTGCATCCTCGGGGTTTGGTTCATGGCCCAAACCTAAATATGGTCTCCAAACAAACTGCGCATAAAATTAAACCAGGTTAATGAAAACGTAATATATAAATAATTTAAAAGTAGAAAAGTTGAAAGGTACGACGTACATCATCCGGGCCTAGGTGATCCAATAGATTGCGGTATAGTGCGATATTGAATGCATGTAACACTATTGGAGGTGATGAGAGGAGACTTACAGGTTACAGTGTAGGTGTAGAGTAGGCGCAGACTAGGTGACAGCCTTGGAGAAGGCATCTCTGAATGCATGTAACACTATTGGAGGTGAAGGGAGGCGCCATTGGACTTGGCGAAAGAGTAAAAAAATGAAAGGTGTCGCCATCCCCATTGGCGAATAAGAGGTGGCATGGTTTGCAGAATACGCGCAGGCTAGGTGACAGCCTTGGTAACACTATTGGACGTGACGGGAGGAGCCTTAGAGGCTACAGCCTTAGTTAATTCAAATTCAGTATGAGCTATTTAGTCTTACATTTATCAAAACATTGATTCACTTAATCTGTCAAACTTTCCAATATTCAAACCTTCAAACAATCAAACCTTCAAACAATCAAACCTACAAAACTTCGAATAACTCATAAACTTCAAACCTTCCAATCTTAAAACCTTCAAACTTTCAAACAACCATACGCAATGGCCTATGCACCCCAATATGTCATCAGTGCATATTTCAACAGTGAGACATACATTTGTCTCACCTCTGGGTTTTTGTTTATAGACACAGACAACATCCGATTTCATTTAAACGGGAAAGCCAATTTCTTGTACTTCAAAAAATGATTGGAGGCCAAACTTGGACGAGGCCCGGTGACACAAATATTTTATCAGAATCCAGTTTTTTTTGGTAACAACCAAATAATATTTTATAAGGTTGAGGTTCAAGATGACGAGGATCTTCAGAATATGTTTTCCAGTCATGTGTATTCCGGGTACGACTCTATTAAGTTGTACATTATGTTGCGAGAGCCTCAGGTGACACAAGTGGTTGATCATTTGGAGACCGAACAAGCAGAGGTAGATGCAGTTGATGAAGAAGAAGAAGATGACGAGTTAGAGTTTGACGAAATGGTGAGTGATGATTCCAAAGACGATGGGATATCTGGTATTCCTGCAAACGAGATCTACACACCACCTCCGCACATGACAAACTTCAACATGGGCGAAGATGAACCGTCTTCTGATTTATTTTTCAATCTGTATATGCAGTCGGATGAAAACTTAAAAGAGAAAGAAAAGTTTCATAACAGAGAAGAATGTATCAGAGCCATCAAAAAATTCCACATGCTCAACTCGGTCGATTTTAAGGTGGACCGTGTAAACCCATAAAGGTACAAGATCAAGTGTGTCCATCCTGATTGTATGTTCAAGCTCACTGCATCATACAGATTAAGAGGTGATTGTTGGGTCATAGGTTCCATGTCTACCCACACTTGTGTCAGTTCTACTCAATCACAGGACCATCGAAAACTTAATTACGATCTCATTTGTCAAGAAATCCTATCACTCGTCAGCAACGATCCATCTTTGAAGGTGAAAACCATCATCTCCCACATCACTACGGTTTTTAACTATACTTCGTCTTACCGTAAGGCGTGGTTAGCAAAGACCAAGGCGATTGAAAAGGTGTACAGAAACTGGGAGGAGTCATGCCAAGAACTTCCTCGCTACCTGAATGCACTCAAGACTTATTCTCCGGGTACTGTTTACATTCTGGAAACAGTGCCAGCATATGCCCAAGATGGTAGTAAACTAAACGGAAATGGAATATTCAGCCGAGTGTTTTGGGAATTTCAACCTTGCATCACAGGGTTTTCATCATGTAAACCAATTATACAAATTGATGGGACTTGGTTGTATGGGAAATACAAAGGCACGCTACTGATGGCAGTTGCACAAGATGGCAACAACAATATTTTCCCAATTGCCTTTGCCCTAGTCGAGGGGGAGACCGGTGGTGCTTGGAGCTTTTTTCTGAAAAACCTGCGAACACACGTGGCTCCTCAACCAGATCTCTGTTTGATCTCGGATAGACATGCATCCATTGAAAGTGCATACAATAATCCTGCAAATGGTTGGCATGACCCTCCTTCTACGCATGTCTATTGCGTTAGACATATCGTCCAAAATTTCATGATGGAGATCAAGGACAAAACACTAAGTAAAGCGGTTATGAATGCGGGATATGCATTGACACAACCCATATTCAAATATTACCGCAACGATATCTGTTT